AATGATCCAAGAAAATTACCATCCGAAAGAAGGGTGGTGAATGGAAGCATGCTAAAAATGCACGGAAAAACTTTGTAATATTAATATAAATCACTGACTCATAAAAGTAGACAAGGGTATTCCATAATGGATTTCAAGTTTTAGTGAAGGTGGGCGAAGGGAGGGAATTGTATGCAGTAACCAGACAACCCTGCGGCAGTTCGCTTATTTGAAACAAAAGTATGTAAACAAGACTAATCTCTATAGCTAGAACCCAGATAAGATGGTCTGCTTCATGAAACTGCATTGCATAATGCTTTAGAAGTTCAATATGATTGCAATTATAGCTCAAACCTACCATAGACATTCAAGTCAACAAAATATACCTCTTGTTTACTCGACTATGTATTCTAACTAAAAAAAGTAGTAGTTTTTTTTAAGACCAATAAAAACTCGAATGAAANCACTTATTCAATGATCCAAGAAAATTACCATCCGAAAGAAGGGTGGTGAATGGAAGCATGCTAAAAATGCGCGGAAAAACTTTGTAATATTAATATAAATCACTGACTCATAAAAGTAGACAAGAGTATTCCATAATGGATTTCAAGTTTTAGTGCAGATGGGCGAAGGGAGGGAATTGTATGCAGTAATCAGACAACCCTGCAGCAGTTCGCTTATTTGAAACAAAAGTATGTAAACAAGACTAATCTCTATAGCTGAAACCCAGATAAGATGGTCTGCTTCATGAAACTGCATTGCATAATGCTTTAGAAGCTCAATATGATTGCAATTATAGCTCAAACCTACCATAGACATTCAAGTCAACAAAATATACCTCTTGTTTACTCGACTATGTATTCTAACTAAAAAAAGTAGTAGTTTTTTTTAAGACCAATAAAAACTCGAATGAAACTAGGAAAGAAATTATACACCAAGATGATGGCAAATCTCAAACCACACTACTAGATGGGTTAATCGGGTACATCCAAACAAATAACTAATTATGATTAAGATTAAAAATTACAGCATACAAACATATAATAAAGCTGTCAAATGCAACAGCTTAGAAATGGGAAAGAAGGATCACCATGAGTTACAAATTATACAATATCAGATACAAACCCATTATAGGAAACTTCCTTCTCAACCATTAATAAGCAGTATCAACAAAATGAAGCAAGTCAAATTTTTGCAATTCCATACATAATCATGCCACCCAGCAAATACAAAATGGTACAACCCAAAAAATCTAGTGTACATTGTAAAGGTACTATAAATTTCACGTTCTTATTATTGAAACTTGAAAAACATGTCTATACAAAGGAATAAAATCCAAATTACACTGCCTCCAAAGGGAAAAAAACGTTGGGGTAAAAATGCACAATGCAACAGACAACCACCACTCTTCCAGTTCCAGCCCTATGCATTTACAGAAGAAATCTACAACACAAACAGATACAATACATCTGACAGTTTAAAAGCTTACAGGGAACTAGGCTACATCAACAGACCAACTTCTTCCGATGTTACAATGACCAGTTACAATTGAAACAGTGACCCCAGAATTAACCTCATCATCAGATACAAGACAACAAATATGAAGAAGTATGGACCCTCAAAATTGGTACAAAACTTTTACAAGCTCATTGAACAGACAAATATTGCAAACGAGCCCACTACAAATTGCAAATCTAATTCACAGGAACCAGCAAAAGGCAGCACAGAACAGTGATCTGCCAGCAGACTGGTAGATAATGGGGTTGGTCCAAAAACTTAACACCAATATCCTTCCATAATCAATAAAAAAAATTGGACTCTTTCTAGAAATTTCCTTGCCAGAGCACTACTATAAAAAATTGGGTTAGTGCTTGAGGTTAGCAAATGATGGCCAACATGATCAAGGCTTCTTTGGTACACTAGGCAGAAAGCAGCCAATTTAACTCATCTTCCTCCAGGTGCCCAACATATGCTTAGATAATCACAAAAACAAAGATTTGCCTACTTTGCTCCCTGAACATGGTGATATAGAAAGAAAATAAAATTCCCATGACAAAACATTAAAAAAAACGAACCATTTAGGAAAACCATAATCTATATTTACTACATATTATAATTGACAAAATACAAGAAAGAACAATGCATCATCAGATGACACCAAGCGCTAGGAATGGGCTCCATGTCTTATACTTCTACATTTCAAAGTTTCTTCATTGCTTCTAGGAAACTTTATTCCATTGAAGAGGGAGAGGGCAATGGTCCACTGACATTCAATTAGCCCGGTGGGCCCAGCATGTTACTTGGGATTCTCAGTAATGCTCATCGAGTCTATGGTGAATAGTTGAATTAACTCCATGGATGTTACATACAAAATTGCAGTTGGACTAGATGAAATTTTGATCAGTACATAATGTTATCTGGGATAAGCAAAATGTCATATAGTTGCTAATCGTATGGTGTAGGTATAGCATATGCAATATAGTTAGTTGTTCTATTCTTTTTGGGTAATTAACTACTCCTTAGAGGTATATTACTAAGTGAATGTAATTTTCCTTCTCGAAGTGGAAAACATAAGGAGGGCAAAAGGTAGATCAGTCAAAAATCAACCAAATGAAATCAATCAAGAACAGCCAGTTCGGCAAAATCAAGTGGGATTGCAACAGACCTATCAGTGTTTAACGACATTAATCCAAACCCAAATACAAAGAAGACAGTGAAAATTGAGTTGACCTTGCAAAACAAATGGCAGCAAATTCACAATATCACATAGGGAAAGGCCACCTTCTCCAAATACACAAGATGTACACGACGTTAGGACATTAGTGCCAAATCCACAAAGGGAAGTAGAAAATAACGAAATGATAATATTACAAGAGTTTCTGAAATGTCCAATTTTTTTAGAGTAGCGTGAACCCATTAGAGGCGGACACACGATTTTTGTTCTATCCTTATTTCTTCTGTACAAAGGTTGGTTGCACGCCACACTCGCACGGTATCTTTTTCCATATACCCTCTTTATGTGACATACAAAAAAAAAATGATATTACTTCAAACGTCTCTCAGTAATCTTGCGGGCATCCCCTTCTCCATACAACCCCCCTCTAAACCACATATTTATTTGTCTATAAACTGNTGGTATCTTTTTCCATATACCCTCTTTATGTGACATACAAAAAAAAAATGATATTACTTCAAACGTCTCTCAGTAATCTTGCAGCCATCCCCTTCTCCATACAACCCCCCTCTAAACCACATATTTATTTGTCTATAAACTGACATTGGCCTCTCAACACCTAAGGCAGCCATTACAGTGCATACTCCCTCTGTTGACCTTGGGAAGCATTGCACTATTCTCAGACAGTAACCCTCGTTTGTGTAACAAAGAAGACACCAATGACAAGAAAAGCAATGCCAAATGCTCAACATGACTGATAATGTTGAAGATAAAGCAGCAGAAAGATTTCCTGTGATTCATTGCACAGAATCAAGTATTTTGGCCTAGGAAGAACACTCTATTGTTCAGGTGAACTCAGACACAAATGCATCGCAACTCTCAAGTGGGGACAGAAAAGGAGCATGTATAGGACCAAAATATCATGAGTCATCAGAGACAAGACAATATATGGATGGGGTAGTTTTACTTCTTACAAAGACAGAAATAAAACCAGCAAAGCTAGTTTTTCTAGAATTCAAGTTTTTTTGGTTATTTCAAATATTTTTACTCATATCAAAACAGTGGTGCATCTAACTACCCTGAACAACACTGGCAAGTTTTCATTTCTGAACACACTCAAACTCTCCCAAATGAATATGATATAACTAACCAATTTAGACTAATCATCTTGAAGACAAATCTGGGCTAACTTCTAAGACATATAATCACTTGAACTTTAAAAACAAAAGCAAGTGAGATGAGCAAGCACCTAGTGACCATTCAATAACATAATCACTTCTTAATGAAAAGATAAAGCACCATGCATTGTGAAAGGACTACAGTTAATGAATGTTCTTAAAAAAATAAAATAAACAACAAAAAAAGGTAGATGCTGTAAAATAGGCACAACAGAATCAAAAGATGCCATGAGAGGGGGCTCATTTTCCTTGATAGACTAAAGTAACAAAAACAACAGAACTTCGCAGAGATTGTCACCAAGGAACAACATACTTCTTCTTGCTTGTCTCTACCAGCTTTCGCTCATATGTACCAATGGCAAGTTGTCCTAACTAAAGTGAAACAAACAACTTCTTCTCTTGCATCTCCTTTAACATAAAAATAAAAATGGCACATAGGGGACGTTTAACCAATGCAAATTTGCTGCAAGTTCTACAGTTTGGCAGACCTTTTTTTTTTTTTTTTTTCAAATACGTCAGGTAGACATAAAATATCATTTAAAACCAGTAAGCTTATATTAAAAGGATCCATTGCAAACTCAAAATTGTGAAACGGGTAGCTGGGTAGGGATTCACTATATTGGTAATTTGTTCACATGCATACACATATACAAATTTACATATGTATATGCCTAATATGTTGACCTGCATATATAGATTGAAATCTACATATGTATATGCATGGCCCTGCTAAAAAAAGGAGCAACAAACAGTACTCAACTACGTAGCTTCATAAGTACAATCAATATCAACTTTAGGCAACACCAAAACACCGCTAAACCAAGTAGTGGATCCATAATCAATGCCAACGACCTATGTAGGACCTAATATAAGACCACATATGAATATATATATATATATATATATATATAGAGAGAGAGAGAGAGAGAGCATCATGGTTGAACATCTGAAGAAAAATAATCAGCCAGAAATATATGTTAAGTAAAAAAGCACCCCAAGCATAGTTGACTTATAGTACGGTTCTCTGCACCTAGACTCGTTTCAAAAATTTTCTAACATAACAAGTAACTCCAACAAAAATTAGAGAATAAACTCACACTATTACATTATACAATGAAAAGGGTCTAACTATCTAGAAGGCAAACCCCTTAAGATGAAGTTGTCTCAGAGAGAGGAATGAACACAGCATATATTATGATACAATGGCCAGCAGCAGGGTACTAGAAGTCAAACACCAAAAAGCAAATCCACAAAAGTACCCTACTAAAGCAACTAACATAGTTTAGAACCAGTATCAAGTGTTGAATCAAATTATGTTCAGTAAGAAGCAGAATAAAAGTAATGGGCAATTTTGCCCAACCCACACGAGTCGAACTTACTTTTTCAATCCAGAGCCCATGGTCTGCATGTGGCACCAACTGGAACCAGAAGGAAGACAGTTGTATATTCCCACGAAGAGATACTAGGACGTGAGAATAATAAGGCTAGAATCTCATACAGACCCGTCTCGAGCAAAGGAGATGCAGGAGTGTGTCACTCTGATGGTAGACGTCTCCGCTTACCATAATCCCCATCCCTTGATCGCAATCTGTGATCCTCTTCTGGCATTGCCCGAGATCTTGAAGAAGACTGTCCCCTGTCCCAGTCATCCTCGTAGCCCAAGTCACGTTTTTCATGCCTACGCTCTCGATAGCTATCCTTTTCTTCCCTGTACCTGTGCTCCCTGTCATAATTGTCCCTATCTTGCTCCTTCTCATCACGATGCCTCTTCTCAGAGTTTCCAGACCTGTCATGCTCAGAACTCTGTTCCTTCTCCCGGGAAGCACCATTCGACCTTACTCCTTTATCGTAGCTTGCCTCTCCGTACCCATATTCCGAAGCCCCATCTTCGCCCCCGTAGCTCGATTCCCTCATCCTTCGACCATGTTCTTCACCTCCCCATCCACCCATGCTTGTGCCAGTCCACATTCCCGAATGTTGTCCATCCATCCCAGTGTTCCCCATCATTCCCATTCCACTAGCACCCATTCCTCGGCCAAAGAAGGCAGGGTTAACATGAGGAGCCACCCCCGTAAGTCCCATTGGATTAACAGCTGGGAATGAAGAAAGCATCCCTGGGAAAGTAGGACCTGGAAAACCTCCATAACCAGTTCCTCGGGCCATATAACTAGGGTCAAACCCTGCACCCAGCATACCCTGATGAGGCATCAATCCAGCAGGATGACCACCGAAACCAGGACCTACCAGGCCTTGCCCATAAGCTCCTGCACTGGCACCGCTTCCAACCCCAGGACCATTCCCAAAAATGTTCTTCGATCCCATAGCCCCTCCTCTTCCCCTAATGGGTCCCCCCCCTGGACCCCTGTTGAGTATTCCCTGCCCTCGTCCCCACCCACCTCTTCCAAAATTCCTCCCTGCATCTCCGCTGGGATAATTTGTCCCACCACCTCTCCCAGCCCCATCATTCATAGGCCTCCTTCCTTGTTGCTGAGACTGGGGCTGGACTTGGGTTTTGTTCATATAAGAAGCTCCCATCTGCCTCATAGTTTGTGGAGAAGCAAACACCACCACGCAAGCTCTCCCATTGAAAATATGTCCATTCATCCCGTCTTTGCATGCTGCAGCAGCAGCTGGTTCATAGAATTCAACTTGACAATAGCCTTTAGATTTTCCACTAGCTCTCTCATCATAGAACTTGATCTCCTTGACCCTCCCATATTGAGATAACACACTCTCAAGCTCTGAATCAGTTGTCCACCAATGTAGTTCCCCCACCAATAGCATGGTAGCACCATTCTCCACAGCTGGCTGTATCTGATTTTCATTGACAACAAGGCGGTTCATATGCCCATTTACATTTGTGCCCATTTGATTAGCTGGCATCTCGGGAACACTGCTTGGGCCACCGGTGCCAGAATATAGCAATTGTGCGGACTCATTCATGACTTTACCTGGCACATCACCACGACCAACCCCAATTCTCTGGGGCGTGGGCATTGGTCCTTGAAACCCCAAATTTCCTGGTTGAGCACCACAAGTTATTTCTGGAGTNCGACTTTACCTGGCACATCACCACGACCAACCCCAATTCTCTGGGGCGTGGACATTGGTCCTTGAAACCCCAAATTTCCTGGTTGAGCACCACAAGTTATTTCTGGAGTTCTTCCTTTTTGTAAAACGTCAACAGCTCCCAGTTGTGATCCTCCAGAAGCTGTCCACCCTCTTCTCTGCTCAGGGAACTGCAGCCCTGTATTTGTATTCCTCCCTTCAGTTGCAGTTCCAGTAAAGGCTAGCTCTTGTGATACCATAGTTTCTGCTCTGGGTTCAGGAATAATTGTTTTCTGAGATTGAACTCCACTAGTGCCCGCACCAACCGATAGCACTTGTGCCTCGGACCGATCCAGCTGCCGGAAACCCTCGCCAACATTAACATCATTGTAGAGATCATCAAATTCATCCTCCTCGCCTATCATTTCATCCTCGGCAAGTGCAGGAATTGCTCCTCCTCCATGATACTGTATCTTTTGTGCTCCTCCGAATTCCTCATCTCCATGGTCTAGTTGATCTTCAGCTATTGGATCCATTTAATCACCCTCAACTTAATTCAAAGCACCAGTTTTTATTCCCACCTTATCAAAAGCAGAAAGAGAGTGTGATTAAAATCGAGCAGAAAGAGAGTCTGACTACAATCGCGCAGAAAGAGAATGTGATTAAAATTGAACACATACACGAGAGAGAGAGAGAGATGAACACAGAATCTTAACAGATGGATCGAGAAATCCCTGGACAGTTTAACAATTGAACACATACACGTGGACGCATGCATACAACTGAAATAGGGGAACACTCAACAGAGAGAGGGAGAGGCAAAAATCTACGGGTGTCAATCAATTGAATCTTGTGAGCTTCAGTATGCTCAAGCTCAAAACAATTGTGATAGGCTGAACACGAGCTCTAGATTGAGCTAAGCTCAATTGTCAAGCTTAGATTCTTGTTCAAGTTCACAGAAACATCTGAACATTCGATCCAAGCTCGAGTCAAATCTTGCTTAATTTCTTGGCAAAAAATCTGAAATAAAACACTAGAACTTAATTATCAATTCCATAAAATACCAACCAACCAACCAATCAAACCAGCTATTTGAGTTCGTCTTCGCCATTTATTTTGGTCATGCGCTATATACTCATTTAAGCTAAATATTTTCTTATTATTTCGTTCAATATTAATTTAAGTCTACCCCTACTCCTAGTACCATTAAAAGAAATTCTATTATTTTTTCTAATTGGTGTCTTTATCGGTTTCTGTTGACCATGATCAAAATTAGAGCTACTCCTATCATTTCTCTAATACGACTATTTCGTATTCTATTATTTTTAGTTTTTTTATGCATCAACCTTAACATTCTAATTTTCGCTACAATCATTTTGTCTCTATATTCAACATTTCGTCTCATACAACAATGTTGCCCTTAATGTTGTTTGGTAAAACTTGACTTTCAATTTTATTGACATCCTTCTATCACATAATATGTTAGAGGTTTCCCTCACTTAAGTCAACCAGTGTTGGTTCTATGAATTTTATTGTCTCTAATCTCTCCATTATTTTTAATGATTGATCCTACATATCTAAATCATTTACTCATTAGTATTTCTTGATTTTCAATCTTAACTTTTTTACTATGTCTGATTCTTCTATTACTAAAATTACATTGCATGTATTCAGTCTTGCTCCTTCATTTTTTAAACCCCTTCGAGTTTCATCTACTAAGACAAAATCATCTGCAAATAGCCCACATCACCATTCAATATTTCTTAGCCCACTTTTGGCCAAACGTATACACCATAGGAAATCATCTTGAATGTGTCTAGTGAGTTCATCCATAATTAGGACGAATAAGTATGGACTTAGGGCTTATCTTTGATATAACCTCGCCGTTATTGAACATTCTTTACTTTCTACCACAGAGGACCTAATTGTAGTCATAACCTCATCATACATGTCCTTTATCACCTCAATATATTTGTTCATCACTCTTTTTTCTTCTTCTCCATGCTTTTCATTGAGTGTCCTTAATAAATATATAACCTCCATAATTAATCTGCTAGGCATAAACTCAAACTACTTTTCCAAAATGAAAATCTCAACACCTAGGCAATGTTCAAGATCATTTTTCCATAGTTTCATTGTATGACTCATATCCCTCTATTATTATTACAATTTTGAATATCTCCTTTATTTTTATAAATAAGTACTAAAATACCATTTTTCCATTCATCGATCATTTTCTTAGTAAGCAATAATTCTATTAAATAATTTCATTAGCCACGACACCCCCATAATTTTCTAAGCACTTCCAAACCTCAATTGGAATCTCATTCGGTTCTAAAGTCTTGCCTAATTTCATTTTCTTCAATGTAATCTCTATCTCCAAATTATTATTCTACGAAAGAACATGTGCTCTAATTTCATAAATCCTACCATTTTCTATCTCTTCTAAATTTCCTATGTGATTTTCATTTAATAGTTTCTTAAAATAATCTTTTCACCGCTCATTTATTTCTTCATCCTTAACTAAAACCTTTAAATCATCGCCTTCGATACACTTAACTTGGTTAAAATCTCTTATTTTTCTTTCTCTAGGTTTAGATAGTTTGTACATGTCTTTGTTGGATCCACCATGAATACCATAATAATCAAACTTCTAATAAACACCTCTCAACATATGTCTAATCAATCATAAAATGAAAATAATTTCTCAAAAAATTATAAAGCAAGATGGGCAGAGCAGAGAGAACTAATCGTATATGCTCTGGCCTCATTTGGCAATGAAAATAGAATTGTTAATAGAGTGGAACCTATTTAAGCCAAATTAAAACGAGCCAAGCAAGCATTGCAGAAATTCGACTCACTTAAAAAACAAGCTTCAAAATCTTTTTAGATTGGCTTTATTGTGTGATTTGAATGAGCCAAACCCAAGGTGAGCTCAAGCAGCTCACATCATTTAACGGCCCTACAGAAATCTCTGGACACTTACAGACATGAAGTGGAATAGCACAATTTTAGGGTATTAATGGAAAACCTACAAAGACTTGACTATAAACGAACATGGACAAGATTATCCAGCCACATACATATGGATCTAATCACACAATAATTCTTAACACTTAAGAATCTCGAAGTAAAAGAACCATAGAGATCTGACTCCAAAAATACGGACTAACAAAATCTATTACCTTTCTAAAGCCTATCAAAGCAGACTTTCTTATATAAACCTCTTTAGAAACAACATTTTTTAGACTATAAACAAAACTACCAGCATAAACTGCCGATGATCATTGGGAATATGACACGCCTAAATCGTAAAATCACGAAAAACAAATCAATACCCAGTAATACCCCCGTCGCAATTGCACAATATACATATGAACACAAACACTAATCAGATGCTAACGTCAAAAAATTGGCTATTGTTGGGAATAAATTCAACAGTTGAAGCATATTCGATACAAGAACAAAGCAGAATAGTAGCAACAAGAAGTAAATGATGAGAATAAGTGAATCGAGGTTTTATATGCTATTACCAATTCATGCAAAGACGATCCAGAGAGATCGACTATAAAAGAGAGGTTACGAGCAGTTTTTTGAAGGTAGTTGTCTGGATTATAGACAGATAAATAATCGGGTCTTAGCAGTTGTCTTAGACCCCCCAGCTGCCGAGGTCAGCGTCAGACAACCTCTCTCTCTCTCTCTCTCTCTCTCTCTCTCTCACTCATTTTTTTTTTGAACAGTCCCTCTCTCTGTCGTTTTCGTCAATTACCTCTTGAATCGAACCTTTGTAATCATATCATACCCCAACGGTGAATTTTATGTTGGGTTAATTACAAATTGCCCCCTTAAATTTTGGGTCTTACTGCAATCAACTTCCTCTAATTTCAATTTCAACAATTTATCCCTAACACTTCTAAATTTTTGCAATTAACCGATGTGGTTTGTTTTGGGCTGTTAAAAGTGAAGGCATCAAATCAAGTTAAAGTAAAATGATCTAAAGTTTGTTGAAAATACAAAATTTCTCATCTTTGAATCACATTTTTCCTCATTTAAAAGAAATTTATATGTTAATTACAAATTGGCCACTTCAAGTTTGGGATTTGTTGCAATCATTTTTTCCCACTACGAGCACAACCTGTTGGTCCCACACGAGTGAAACAATATTGGCTGTGATATTACATGCAATTTCAGGAGAGAAAATCAAAATGATGCAAACACTGAGAGAAAACAACATTTTATCATTAGGATGAGTATGTATTTGACACTATACTATAGGCTTTCATTTACACAGGGGCGGAGTCAGAAAATTTTTTAGGGTGGGCACACTAACATATTTTAATTTTATTTTTTTTTAATAGATTGTAAAAGTTCATAAATTTATATTTATTAAAATTATATTTAATATTTTTTAAACATAAAAGATTAANTTTTAGATAATTTGTACATGTCTTTGTTGGATCCACCATGAATTCCATAATAATCAAACTTCTAATAAACACCTCTCAAAATATGTCTAATCAATCATAAAATGAAACTAATTTCTCAAAAAATTATAAAGCAAGATGGGCAGAGCAGAGAGAACTAATCGTATANGATTAAAAATTGATATACTCATAAACAAAAAAATAATAATTAAAATTTCTTATTGAGAATAAGATTAATTATTAGTACTTACAACTGATTCTGGTATGTTTTTATTATTTGAAATAGTTACAAATTAATTTTATTAACAATATTTTTTATATATATAAAATCGGGATAGCAATCTTCTATTTATGATCCTATAGTTTATTACATGACAGCACACATTTTTATATAATAACGAAATAAACCAATAATTTAAAAAAAATTACAAAATAACACCAATATGTTCAAAACATATTTAGACATGTCTAAAACATGTATAAAAGTTAACAATTATATTAGTTGTATCTAATTTGAGATTTAATTGATAGAGACTCAATGGTTTGTGACCATTAGATAAACAGTAGAGTTTATTAAATATTAAAAATCACTATTATACTTAATATCGCAATGTATTAGGCTCTTAAATTAGATTTCAATAACATTGTTAAAAATATTAATAATCATTTAGGTAGGGGTTTATTCAAATCAAAATCATCAAAACACAATATTAGGATAGGTACAATTAAATATGTCTAAATTTTATTTCAAAAAATACATACTTAATATGAAACAAAAAAAAATTGAAGGGGGCATGTGCCCACCCTAGCCCAAGGGTGACTCCACCCCTACATGTACTAGTATTTATAGACATGCAAGACATCCATTCAGGTGAATAGACACACCCGATGGAAAGATTGTAACTGTTGACACAATCACAACTATTCCTAGAGTTGTGTTGGTTTATATTCAAATTATCTACACTTCTCTCTTCATGATTTTTCTCCTCATGCATGGAAAAATAACTGTTAGGAGTAGAAATTGCGCGTTCGGATCTCATCCCTGAACACCAAGGATTCCAGCTGGCCTATACCCTTTCCTAAGACAATACAGTAGCATTTACCTCAATCCCACATCGGGTAGGAGTCGTCTCTCCCCTGCCATATAAGTGAACACTTCCTATGGAGAAGGTAAGTGTTCACTTATATGGCAGGGGGAGAAACGACTCCTACCCGATGTGGGATGGAGGTAAAGGCTACTGTATGCCTTAGGAAAGGGTACAAGCCAGCCAGAATCCTTGGTGTTCAGGGATGAGATCCGAACGCGCGATTTCTACCCCTAACATAAAAGGCGTTTTTTTGTAAGGGGTAGAAATCGCTACGGGATTTCAGTCCTCCAATCGAAAGATTCTGGCTGACCTAGCAGCACCGAGCCCCAGTAGCCTTTACCTCTCTTCGTCAATAGGACCATTTCCTAAGGCAATTCCATATCGGAAGAGGGTCTTCTCCCCTCCTGCCATATAAGTGAACACTTCCTATGGAGGAGGTACCCATCCTTCAAGTGGAGGGCTGAAATCCCGTAGTGATTCTAAATGCCCAGTCATAGGGATATTTATTATCTTTCACTTCTGAGCCTTCCTGCATTAAATGATGTCTCATTAAGGAAATGGTGCACTAAATGCTTGTGTTTCCCAAGTCGTGTGTCAGCAAGGACATCTCGGTCTTTTTGTCTCTGATCTGACACAATATGCCACGCATACTTAGGGAAAAGAGGGACTTGTGAACCAACGAGTACGTGTCGTGATCACAGTAACAAGAATATACCGTTGCTGAGGACACGTGTCTTCATCTTGGAGTATTTGGAAATGTCCCATCAACTCCCCCCCCAACCTTCGATCTCCTGACACCGAGGACACGCGTCGTAAGGAGACAAAGTGTTCTATAACTACCCCAACTACTTCATCAGTGCCTCTAGTCGTTTTCTCTTGCTTAGGAGGTCGTGCGCATTAAATGTGTCTCTTCGTGCTTCGTGCCCAAATGATGGGGATGGGTATTATATAAATGGGCTTCCTCTCTCCCTCTCTCATTTCATCATTTTGAACTTTTTCAGAGAGCCCTTGCCTGAAAACCTCGCAGGAGATCTCTTTCCTTTCGTTGTGTACTGCCCAACCTTTCACCGGAGTCTCAAGGCCAGCAGACCCATCCTTGCTTCTGAACATCCTAAGGGAAGGAATCACTTCAAGTTTTCAAGAAAAACTTTCGTTTACGTTCTGGTGAGTTCTTGTATCTTCCCTCTCTTCGCCCTTCTGTCTCTTCTTTTCTTCTTCTCGATGTTTTTATTTTCTTTTGATTTTTCGATAATCGGAGGTGTTTCTGGTTGCCATTCTGTGACCAACCCTCGGGAAGCCTCCTCGGGGATCTTCGTGGGAAAACCCCTCCCTTCTTCCTCAATTTTCATCATTTTTGGAGATGCCCCGATGTCGCCCCGCCCCTGAGAATCCTCAGGCTAGTTCCTCGAGGCCAGGGAAATACAGAGTGAAGGGGGACGAGCAGATTAATAAGTTTAGGGTCCAGTATCGCATCCCCCCATATGTAGACATAGAGGATTATAACTCGACTGTGCATTCCCGTACCCTTGGGGCCGAGGATGAAATGTCATTTTGTACCAAAGTCATCATAGAGGGCAAAATTAGGTTCCCTCTGCCCCCTCTACTCCTCCAGTTCCTCTCCCATTTTCACCTTTTTCCCGGGCAGTGTTGCCTCAATGTCTTCAAGATAATAATGGGAGTCTTAGAGCTCAACAAGCGTCTCGGGGTAAATGTTGGGTTGAACGATATCCTCTTTTGCTACTCCCTCTTGAGGGTCATGCCTCAGCAAAATTTCTACCTCAAAGTCAGGGACCCATCAATGTATCTCGTAACTCACCTTCCTGACTCGGACAAGGGGTACAAGGATGACCTACTGACCACACTGACAGCAATCATGAGTTTTTGAGGTATAAATACTCCTCATAAAAGGCAAGACGGTATGCAATAAAAAACTTTTTCTCAAAAAAATACACAGTGTTTTCTGCTTCCCCTCTTTCAAAGAACTGACTTGATCGTCAGAGGGGATATGCCAAAAAATACTTCGGCGCCCTCCTAACTCATTTTTCCCTGTTCCAGGAACCTCCCTCAGCCTTACTGGACGGCTCCGTTGATCCACGAAAGTCACCCATTACCGTTCCAGGCCACCACCGGACCTCACAGTCTGTTCCAAGCAGCAAGGTTGACCATTCGATTGACTGACTCGAGTTTACCACGGAAGAGATCTGTTCTCGTGTTTATATTGTGCAAGATCTTGCACGTACAATAACCACCAATAATTATATACATTCATGAGCCAAGTGTGATCACCCAATTCATGGGTCAACACAACCACTATGACATAATGTGTTTGTGTGTGTATTTGTGGGTTGTGTATCTGTGGGTAGCTTGGAGGAGTTGAGTCTGTTGAGGTGAGGTNTGGGGCCGAGGATGAAATGTCATTTTGTACCAAAGTCATCATAGAGGGCAAAATTAGGTTCCCTCTGCCCCCTCTACTCCTCCAGTTCCTCTCCCATTTTCACCTTTTTCCCGGGCAGTGTTGCCTCAATGTCTTCAAGATAATAATGGGAGTCTTAGAGCTCAACAAGCGTCTCGGGGTAAATGTTGGGTTGAACGATATCCTCTTTTGCTACTCCCTCTTGAGGGTCATGCCTCAGCAAAATTTCTACCTCAAAGTCAGGGACCCATCAATGTATCTCGTAACTCACCTTCCTGACTCGGACAAGGGGTACAAGGATGACCTACTGACCACACTGACAGCAATCATGAGTTTTTGAGGTATAAATACTCCTCATAAAAGGCAAGACGGTATGCAATAAAAAACTTTTTCTCAAAAAAATACACAGTGTTTTCTGCTTCCCCTCTTTCAAAGAACTGACTTGATCGTCAGAGGGGATATGCCAAAAAATACTTCGGCGCCCTCCTAACTCATTTTTCCCTGTTCCAGGAACCTCCCTCAGCCTTACTGGACGGCTCCGTTGATCCACGAAAGTCACCCATTACCGTTCCAGGCCACCACCGGACCTCACAGTCTGTTCCAAGCAGCAAGGTTGACCATTCGATTGACTGACTCGAGTTTACCACGGAAGAGATCTGTTCTCGTGTTTATATTGTGCAAGATCTTGCACGTACAATAACCACCAATAATTATATACATTCATGAGCCAAGCGTGATCACCCAATTCATGGGTCAACACAACCACTATGACATAATGTGTTTGTGTGTGTATTTGTGGGTTGTGTATCTGTGGGTAGCTTGGAGGAGTTGAGTCTGTTGAGGTGAGGTATTATCTCAAAGAGAGACTAATGGGTATGGGCAAAGAGACGGCCGATATACAGAGCTTTTGCATAAATTAATATGGGAAGCATAAGCCCATGTGTAAGCTTTATGCTTACTTTTCCACCACACCATGAAAACTCACCTTCATTCCCTTTTCTCATTTGGTTGGGTGGTTGTGCGACAATGGGTTGGGTAACTTAGATGTGGAAGGTTCCCGATGGGGAAGTGAGTTTTGTGGGAGGGAATGGAGGTATTGTAAAGTGGGTGGCAGAAGGTAGAAGAAGATGGAGTGGGATTTTTTTGTTTTTTCATAACAATCTTATGGGTAGTTTTGTCCTTTCATTGAAAGCTAACTTTGATTAAAATGTGTGACACACTCATTAGACGCATGTATAACAAATTCTGTCAATTTTGACGGAATTTAAGAGGGCAGCACTTTAGTCCAAAAACAAAAGGGAGTTATGTGCTTATTTCCAAACTACAGGGAGGTCATGTGCAAAGGCCTAAACCATAAGGGGGTAAGTTGGATTTTACGAATAAAGTTTATATTTTTCCTGAAATAATTTACTATTTTAAAATAGAATCCTTATTTACTAATATAAAATTTTTTGTTGCTACTGTATAACCAGAGATGATTTATATGAAGGACGACTGTTTGATCCCTTTTTTCATGTGGTGACTGTTTGATACCTTATATCATGTGGTTAGAACATTTTCTTTTTTATGTTGAAGACACGGATTCGATTCTTGTAAGGGATAGGTAATCATTTTGACAATTTTCATTTAGTGTTTATTGTTGAGTGATCGCTCGAAAAAATAGTTCGAAAACTTCTTTTCTCCTAACAAGCAAGAAGAGATCACGATTTTCTCAATAATGGACTTGAATTCTTTCTTAGTCTTAGATATTCTTTAATAGATGCTCAAACTTCTAACATACATAATCTTCATGCATGTGTTCTTTCTCTTTCTTTCTCATCCACACTTCTCTTTTATGCCCTGTTTCTCTCTCTTTTGGCCCTTTTTGTTCGGCATTAAACCACACCTTAGGCATTGAGTGGAGTTCTGCTCTCTCTAATACCTAATACATAGTTCCGTTTAAGGAGCTTAAAGCTTCGACCATGGCATGGGAGTAGGCTGGCCTAGCTTTACCATTACTACTAGTCCATCAAACAAAAGAAGTCAGTAACTCTACAATCCAGGCCAAATCAAAAGCACAATGAACCTGTGTTTTATTGTTATGCCCGATTGCCTCCTTTAAGAGGGGTTTGAGAAATCTCTATTTGTAACATGAAGACGATTTAAAGTTGTTCTTATTGCCATCAAACCGACTTGAAAATCAAATGCACACGTTAAGATCAAAATTTCAATTGGGTATAAATAAATGAAGCTTGTAAATCAATATGTCAATTCTATAAAGCCTTCAATGTCACCACAAATGAATCCAAGATTCTATCCGAAACATACTATAGTGATTTTCGTCTATCATCNTTATGGGTAGTTTTGTCCTTTCATTGAAAGCTAACTTTGATTAAAATGTGTGACACACTCATTAGACGCATGTATAACAAATTCTGTCAATTTTGACGGAATTTAAGAGGGCAGCACTTTAGTCCAAAAACAAAAGGGAGTTATGTGCTTATTTCCAAACTACAGGGAGGTCATGTGCAAAGGCCTAAACCATAAGGGGGTAAGTTGGATTTTACGAATAAAGTTTATATTTTTCCTGAAATAATTTACTATTTTAAAATAGAATCCTTATTTACTAATATAAAATTTTTTGTTGCTACTGTATAACCAGAGATGATTTATATGAAGGACGACTGTTTGATCCCTTTTTTCATGTGGTGACTGTTTGATACCTTATATCATGTGGTTAGAACATTTTCTTTTTTATGTTGAAGACACGGATTCGATTCTTGTAAGGGATAGGTAATCATTTTGACAATTTTCATTTAGTGTTTATTGTTGAGTGATCGCTCGAAAAAATAGTTCGAAAACTTCTTTTCTCCTAACAAGCAAGAAGAGATCACGATTTTCTCAATAATGGACTTGAATTCTTTCTTAGTCTTAGATATTCTTTAATAGATGCTCAAACTTCTAACATACATAATCTTCATGCATGTGTTCTTTCTCTTTCTTTCTCATCCACACTTCTCTTTTATGCCCTTTTTCTCTCTCTTTTGGCCCTTTTTGTTCGGCATTAAACCACACCTTAGGTGTTGAGTGGAGTTCTGCTCTCTCTAATGCCTAATACATAGTTCCGTTTAAGGAGCTTAAAGCTTCGACCATGGCATGGGAGTAGGCTGGCCTAGCTTTACCATTACTACTAGTCCATCAAACAAAAGAAGTCAGTAACTCTACAATCCAGGCCAAATCAAAAGCACAATGAACCTGTGTTTTATTGTTATGCCCGATTGCCTCCTTTAAGAGGGGTTTGAGAAATCTCTATTTGTAACATGAAGACGATTTAAAGTTGTTCTTATTGCCATCAAACCGACTTGAAAATCAAATGCACACGTTAAGATCAAAATTTCAATTGGGTATAAATAAATGAAGCTTGTAAATCAATATGTCAATTCTATAAAGCCTTCAATGTCACCACAAATGAATCCAAGATTCTATCCGAAACATACTATAGTGATTTTCGTCTATCATCAACATGCAAAAATTCTTATCAAACTCGAAACTAAGCTGAACACCAAAAATGCCATTCAGCTCAGTTAATGTCTACCCAATGGATGACTTATCTGATGCTGAAATCCCAACTAGGCTCGCCAACAACAGCAGCAACAATATCCCACCAGCTCCTCGGACTTATTGCCCCCCCACCCCAAAAAAAAAAAAAAACAAAGGAAAGAATACAAGAAACTCATTTTGTTACAACTGAGACTAAACATCTATTGTACACGAGCTCCCTACCACGAACCCAGCTTGTAAATACACATGAAAGCCATGCGGACACATATTACAGGAATAAACAATAAGGGAGTGCCTCCATTGTCAATCGTTGAAATGATCTTCATATCAATACATTCCCTTGAAAACAGGATTTGTACGGCATATGCTTGCCCCATATTCCTCGTACTCTGCTTTTGTGTGGCAAGCCTGTGCACCAACCAAAAATTACTTAGTCCCAAAATTATGAATTTAGTCAAACAAGAAACTTTGGTAAAATTGATTGTTCTTCTTATTCTGTCCCTAGTCCTCCATAAATGATGTATAACCTAATCTTAAAAAAAAAAAAAAATCATGAACAAGTAAACACTCTACTTCGTCTACTTTTGTTCATGTGCATTTATTATCAACTTGTCTGGCCAACACCCCCCTCCCCTATGTTGGGAAGAGAAGGGGGGGTGGGGGGAAGGGGGTTGTACTTGTGTTTGCTGTTAAAGTTACTAATAGAGAAGCCAGGTAATATTACTGAATGCATACAAGCTTCAGGTCATACCATATACTAATGCATCATTGCATACACAGGTGTCTGGAATTGATGGCAATGTATTATTAACTACAAACCAAAGGGGGACAAAAAAAATATTATTCCAGATTAAAGAGAAGCAAAACATACCGCAAAAAATTCGGGTGTTGATCCAAGTACTGAACCTCCAAACCAAACTGCATACCTCTGGATAGGATGGCTGACGACATTGACTTCCACTGGCTGTGCCTGGAGGCAAAATTTTCAAAACTCAACCCTTCCATTTTTCATTGACCAAAAGGTTAAGTTTTGCTTTAAAAAAACAATAAATAAAATAACAGAAATCCTTACTTTTATTTCTCCACCATGCCTAGCATCAGATGCAAGAACCCGAGCATCCACAATTTTCTTTAAATCCCGTTGCAACCTTCGGTGGAAGTCTTTGAACATAGTTGATCCTCCAGAGAGTACTACATTCTGAGGTAAATGTAATAGATGAGCTAAAAAAAGAGGATAGTATACACATGCTCACACAATCAGTCTGTGCCATGCAAAATAAAAAATAAAAAATTAAAGCTGCTGGACACAAAGGAGCATGCAAATGAATGTCATACCATTCAAAAAAATGCAGATTATGAACTCAATTCTGGACTAAAATTTTTAGGCAAAACCTTTACGAACTACCAGCCATTGCCAGTCGCAATTTTCTCAAGTAAACACACTCAAACTTTACTACCTGATGATAGATGTTTAAAGCACATTACAGCAGACTATTCAATCAAAAGGAGGAGATAAGATAAGAATGATAGGAGGGATTGCCCTCCTTACCAGTGTAGAAACTTAACCATAATGCAATATTTCGAGCAGACAAAAACCATTTATCAATGCTCCCAATATTGGTATTCTATATCACTCGACAATACAAATTCTGAGGGTTCATCTTACTCCACCTTATACAAAGCCCTTCTTGTGTCAATTGGAGCAGACTGAATACACTTGTCTATTACAGCTGGTAAAGGGGTTGTAAACTCACTACTGTAAATCTCAGGACTGAAAAATACCTGCATAATAAGCCAGATTACTCATCAGTTAAGTTCAGGACTAAAAAATACCTGTCTAACATTGTTCCTCTAACAGGTCGCAATCAATTATAGAATAAGTAGATCTATAGATGTGGGACAATTGTTAAAGCATCAAACTCAAAACCAATATGTAGCAAGTGGAGTGACCCACAGAGTCATCTACTATTTTATAGTTATAGATAGAGCAATGCTATTGGGACCTAAAAATCTGACATAATTTGCTGACCTAATGAACTGTGACCTTTGGATTGACTGTAGGCCCCATCAAACATTGGAACTTGATGTTGATCCAATAATTCGTATGAAGCCACATCATTATGGCAGCAAATTAGGTTAAATTTTTAGGTCCAAATAGCATTACTCTTATAGATATAATAATCTGCACTTATGGCACAAATAAGCGAAGAATCAATTGCCAAATCAATGCAATTGAAACAAAAAAGTCTTGCCCAAAATCTCCTGAAGCCAAACTATGGAACCTTGTTGAAGCATTTAACTCAAAGCTAATTGAGGCTCAATGTGCACATAATAGTTTGGGAAGAGCTATTTTACCAATATAGGGCATGATTTAACACTTCAACTAATGTCAACCCTCAATGTGCACCCTTGAACAGAAGAATCAAAAAGCATAGACAGAGACTCAACAAATGCAATAATGGCATGAGCAAAAGGGACACCAATCACCAAATCGCTAAAATTGAGTTAGAGTTTTGACCAACATGTTCCAAGTCCCACCTTTAATGCCATGTTAAAACACCTAATTCAAAACTTGCTGGTAGTCAATGGAGAGGCTTACAAAATCTATACACTAGTTTGGAATGTGCTATTATACCTACATGAGACCAACTTTGACACTATCCCACACAATATGATATTATATACAAAAATCATTTTCCAAAACCGCACAAAAGTACAAAACATAGCTCGGATACCATGCCAATGCATCCAACTTTGGTAATCAATGAAGAAAAGCACACTCTGCTCATATACGAATTTGGGCAACACCATTTAGTGATGTGGGATATGCCCCAGGGTTACTTGGATCGCTGGTCGGTTGGGCACATGGTACAGGTATGGATACTGGTACATTACTTTTCCTGATGCGTGGTACGGTGGAAGTTGGCTTAGCTAGTACACTATTTTGGGTCGCAAACATAATCAATTGCTTGTTGTTTTAAACCTATAATAGTTTGCACACCCTTATTTTATTTATATATGTATAAACTATCAGTTAATTAACATTTATTTTGTATTTTGTTGACCGAGTTTCAAGACAAATCCGATTTATAGGGCTATGTGCTACAATGTAAGCGTGCAAAAGTAAACTACATAATGAACCCTGAAGGATATTTTTACTTTTTTACCCCAAATAAGTTTGCTAATTACATAACATATGGGCCTTTTTTAGATTTTTCACCCAAAAAAAAGTTTGCTTGCTTGTCCATACACCAGCTACCCGTTCAATTATATATTAACCAATTAAGAGAGAGAGAGAGACAGAGACAGAGACAGAGAGTTTCAGATGAGACGAACAAGGATGCACAGTGGCGAAGCCTTCTCACAGCGGTGAAGCCTTCAATCTGGTATGTAACTCAACTGGCACTCAATTTTTCCTCTATCTCTTGGTTTTTTCCTCCCCTTTTGTATTTTGCTCTGTGAGATTTGGAATTTGATTGGGGTTAGGGTTTTAATTGGGGGTTTGGATTTTCAATTTAGGATCGTTGTAATAGGAGATTCAGGTCACGAACAACCCCCGTTTGGGTTTGTTCGACCCAGATTGCAGGACGTAGGTCCTTGAGCATTTTCTGGTAACCCTAATATGCCCTAATAACAACCAAATGAAGTATACTTTTGTAAACAAGAGAAAGGCAGTAAGGATACAATTTATGTACATATCTCCAAGAATAGTACCAAGATGAATGAAGCAAAAACACACTTCTAGCTGGTTGCATGAACATATTCAGATGAAATGAAAAAAGATAAAATTATAAAACTGTTAGGAGATAACCATATTAAGAAATTAGACCATTAAAATTCCCATGCAGATTTTCTAAAAAAACTAGGTATTGTTCATGCATGGTGCTCTTAATAAACTAAATGAACCATTTTCTCCACCATTGCAGGTTAATCATACTGCCTAAAATAAGCAAGAACTTGATATAAAGGGGCAACGCACACCTCAGGGCCAAGAAATCGTTCATAGCCTATATCACAAGAGTATGGTGCCCCCGTCTTTGGTTTGATACCTCTCCATTGCTTAATGTACTTTGATGGTTCTCTGTCGTGCTTGTTAAACTCCTGTCATAATTTGAAAATAGTATGTATAATCAGATAACAACCACGTAACAAGAAAGAAAAAAGGAGTCTCAATGAACTAATTCAGATTACGGTTAAAAGTAATATGAATTATAAAGCACTATAAACATGCAACAGAGTTGTCTCTGCTCAGTGAACAAGAATAGAGGGCAGTAATAAGAATTTGCTTCCTACAAGGTTTAAAGAGGCAATGAAGTTAATAAAGGTCACCTTGACAATATCAGAACAAGTGTAGCAATGTGTCTCCTTCACTTTTCGAGCTACTTCAAAAGAATCTTCTGGTGGAATATGCTCTCCTCTTTCCTACATGAAACAATGTCAAAACTGAAAAGCCATGTAAAGCGAGTCACCATCTAATCCCTGAGTTCCATTGATAATTATTTTGAAACTGTTATGTACAATCTAAAAATATGTCTGGTCAATTCAAAACTAAAACCTCTAGGATTTCGGGCAATCATCCACAAAAGAAGAACCATTTTGAAAGATACAAGAAAATAAAATTTGAGTTCCAGAGATTCATAGCAACAGAAAGAATGGTTGTGTGATTGTCATCCAATCTAGTTTCCATAGAAAGAGCAATAGGTTCCGATGATCTAAGAAATCTTACAACTCTAATATAAGAAGGAAGCAGAGTGTCATATACATTGTTGGAAGTTAAGGAAGTATGTGAGCGGGCTAAGTGTATTATGGATGCAAACAATTTGTATACATCCACACATGAAATGGAAGGAAAATGGAGCACAAGCAGTTGTCTTAGGCAATGCCGCAAAGGATTTAACATTTGACAAATGGCAAACATGTAAAATATTGTTCCCAATATATATTACACGGTGTATTCTTCCATGTTCTTATTTCTTTCTTCTAATAATTCGCTAAATGAAATTAACAAAATAAAAGACAACGATAACACACCCGCATTAGCTGCTGGATGAAGAGAGTGACATCTTTTCCAGCAATGGGAATTGACTTGATGCTGCTCCCAATAACATAACCATCTGCAACAGGTACAACATGAGTAGCCCCATCTCCAACATCCACTACAACACCTGTCATCTCACACTAAAAGAAAGCTTAGGTTAATATAGAAGGATAAAATCAATATGTGTTCTATAAAATTATATTCTACTAAATGTGCAACAATAGGAATCACTATTTTTCCCCTTTTTGTGGTAAGAAAACACACAATAATTTCTGGTTCAATTCTTTTTTCCCTTGTTAATTCTAGATTTTGCCAATTACTTCACTACTTCCAAAAAAACAATCATTTTTCTATTTTTAACTAAATAGATACCTGAAAGGAAAAGGGAAGAATAAAGTAATCATGTGTGTGTGCACACGCTTTTAAGTCATTGCACAACGTATGGAAAATAAATGAAGAAGAAGAAAATATAACAAGATTAGCAAAACAGCAGGTTTTTCATGAATATGCAAATTTAGATAAGTTTATGCTTTATTAACATTCAGACAATCCCCAACACTAAGCAAATAAAAAAATGTCTACTAAATCTAAGCCCTTTAGCATCCCAAGTTGATGAGGTTACTATATGTTCACAGAATTAAATTTGTTCATTACAAGAATGGATTAACACAAAAAATAACTACTAACAGACAAAAGTTATGAGCTGCAAAGATTCTTTCTTCCAGGGGAAGAAAAGAAAATACCACATTCTTATAGCTAATTCACAGTTTCAATCCCCAACTTATTAGGGGGAAAAAAAAGCTAAAAACTTCAATGCAAGTATGTTCAATGTAACCATTAGCCTATGCTGCCAACTAACAAATTACTTGGGGAAGATTTGTGATGCCAAAAACGAATCAACATTGATGTTCAACGAAGAATTCATTAATGTGTCCAAATGTAGTACTACATTTTCGTTAACAAAATCAATAGAAAATGAACACAAAAGAATCTAGCACGATGGTAAAGGCATTTAGTGTTCTAGATCATGTAGGATTTCAATTAACATAATGTATTACAATATCAACCATGATTGCCTTCTCGAGTAAAGCGCATTGGTATAAAGCAAAGGATGTACAAACTTTTGGATCTATGTAGCAGCAACAAAAATCTAATGAAAGATTACTAGGCATGCAAAAATAATTTTAATTCTGGAAGTCGTTTCCCAGTACTTTTCAATATTTTGCTTTCTCTTGTATCCCTAGTTTTTTTCTATGATGCCTCTTCTCTAGACTTCTCATCTCTCTCTCTCTCTCTCTCTCTCTCTCTCTCTCTCTCTCTCTCCATTTTTTGGCAACACAATGTCGTAGAACTTAGTTCTTCCTTCCTTGTCTCTTATCTTTTATTTACTCCCACCTTTCTCTCTTCTCATCTCAAACTCTTTTCATTTTTTTCTCCATGGTTTCACAGACAATTCATCTTTTCTAATAGTTTCACTCCAATCATAGAACTCCACATTCATTAATAAAGAGAAATGCTTCAAGGGTTTTCAAAGGCCTCTAGAAATCGTAATTCATGGTCATTAAGTCAACATCAAAGCTTTTATAATTATTATCGCTCCTCCAAAAGAATTGCTTTAAGAGACAAGAATTGCAAGCAAACTATAGATCTAGAATACCTATTTAGAAGATAATAGATTGTATATTAAAATTCAATACTACCAACCTTTGACGTCGTGTAACCAGCTGCAAGTGCAAGCACAGGCTGGACCGCAATGTATAGCCCCGGAACATTAAACGTCTCGAACATAATTTCCCCGGTGTACTCACGACTCTCCGGCGCTGTTAAGGGACTCTCCGTCAACAAAAAGTAATGATCCTCGGGATCACACCGCAAGTAATTGAATATACACTGCTGCCAAAACCGCTCCATCGCATCCCAATTATCTACCTGACCGTGCTTAATCGGATAACTAAGATTGTAAGTATTATTAGACCGAGATCTGGACAATGCTTCTTCCCCTATAAAGTAATCAAGATCCGCCATAACCCCCGCGCTATGCTGTGCTAACCAATTACTGCTTTTCGTCGAACTCCGAGGTTGGTTTACAAAAGATTCATTAACGGCGACGACTGTGGGAACTATAAAACTAGGCTCAACATTCCCTGCAAAACCCATCTTAGTATACCTATAAGACAGAAAAAAACAAGAGGTCAATTTGTCTGAAGAATTTAATCGAACAGGCGGGTGTGTACTTGTATATTGAAATACATGTATTTACTCATATGCATGTATGAATAGGGATGAATTACCCGGTGCCGTTGTCAATGACTACAGCAGGTCGAGAGGTGGCAGGGTCCATGATAGAGGAAGGAGAGAGTAAGTGAAGGTGTGTGTGAGCAGTGGTGGTGGTGGATCTGCAACTGAGATCCAAAGATGGATTGAAGGGAATCGATCATGGTCGTTGAAAGCGCCTCGGGAATTGTGAATACAGCGTGGATGGTGGTGTCGGCGACGTTGATTGTAAGCGAAAGAGAAGACTCAACGAACAGCTGATGAGGAAGGGGAAGGAGGTGGTGGTAGGTTTTACTCCATCCATTTCATTGACAAAAGTTTGAATTGTACAAAGAAAGCTTCATGGAATTCATCATTAGAGTCTCTGTCTCTCGGTCTTTGTCTTCGATTCTTTTCTTAGCAACCAAACAACGCTGCGTCTCTCTCTCTCTCCTCTCCGACTCTCTCTCTCTTGAGTTTTGTCTTGCGTTTGTCATCGAAAAAATTATAAATGACCCTGATTTTGGGCCGTCGATTTACGTTCCTCACGTTGGATTCGGAAGTGTCGGCCCAATCCGTACTACTCAAGTGCCAGATGACTTCAGTATTTTGTTTTTATTTTTGTTTTTTGGTATATTAATATATAGAAATAAGTTTGTCACACGTTAATTATAAATCATCTAATAAGAAGAAAATTTCATAAAAAAAAATATTATTTTTCATGTAGATCCAGGGTATTACATTTTGGGTTGGGCTATTACCACCCCAGCAATATATATTTTCCTACCTCATTAAACTCTTAATTATAAAAGGATCATTTGGAGGTTGGTACATTAAATTATACATAATTATAAAAAAATACACAGAATAAAATATTTTTAAAAAAAGTATACAGCTGAGATATAAAGATGTAAATGTCAATTTTGTAAAATTTTCTTTTTTAAAAATTGTAACAAGGTATTTATCTTAACCACTAAAATTTAGAGTCATTTAATTCAAAATTTGTAATGCACTTTGATTCATGCGTTTTTTTTTAAAGTGGTTTTGTATTCAAATTATATTCATGCATTAAATATATCATAATTTTATGGGAGAACTTTAATATTCCGTTTATTTTAGGATACATCGCTTTGTTTGAATTTCAAAATTTTTTAATTATTTTTTTATATAATTTGAAATATAAAATTATTTACACTGTAACAAAAATATAGCAAATTCATTAAGCAATAATGTAACAAAAACAGTGTTCAGTGGTTTTGTGTGTGTGATAACAAATTTAAAACAGAAGTTGACTGTTTTAAATAAAATTATATAAAAATATATGTTTGACAAAATGTAATAATACAATATTTTGTGTAAATGTCTTATTATACTGTTATTGTTACATTATTATTATTATACTGTTATAGAGTTCGGATATTAATATAATTTGAAAACAAAATCACTTTTTTTTAAAAAAAAATACGCATGAATCAAGATATATTAAATATAATTTAAAAACAAAATCACTTTCCAAAAAAACATACGCATGAATCAAGAGAGGACATAAAAATATGTAATATTAAAGTTTTCCTCTAAAACTAGGAGATGTTTAATACACCATTTTCTAACAAAAAATACGTATGGATCAAGGGAGGATATAAAGGTCAAAAAAATATAAAAATTTCAAATAATATACTTAAAAACAAATAAGTATCAAAATTAAGGAATTTTTTACCCTACATTTTTTTTTTGTATATTTTTTTACAATTAACTCCAATTTTGTGTACCCTTCTAATTTTAAGTTCATTAAGTCCACTTCGTTCTATACACACCTCAATCGTAATTAAATTCACTTACAATGTTCAACTAAACTACAAAAGTCATAAAAGAGGTTTTCTTAATTACATTTTGATGTGTCAAGTTATAAATAACTAGATTCCGAATAAAATATATAAACAAAAACTTTGTTTGAATGTTAACAAAAAAAAAAAGGACAAACCTTCGGTCAAATATTTTTTATATTCTAATCATTTTAATGTGAATTTATCTTAAAAAATAATAGTTAAGTTCGGGTGTATATATATATGTTTAATCTTAGATATACTATACATAAACCTTAAGTACAAATTATTGATATTGATAAAAAAACACATAAAATAAAATAAACTAAATTTTACAACAATATCAGCTTGAATATCACTTGAGATATCTATACTAGATAATAAGTTGAGTATACTTTTGTATAGACAATGTGAGACGAGGTATAGAAAGAAAAACTTAAATGTGAATATGGAGATAAATTTAGTTATTAATAGAGTAGGTATAGAATGGGGCGAATTTAAAACCTAGTGGGTGGATATAGAAAAGATGGGTGGGTACAGAAAAGATGGATTGAACTTAATAATTTTTATAATTTAAATTTTAATGGAATGGGAATAAAAATTTATGAGAATTGTACTATTCCTATTTTCTAGGGCAAATATACGAGTACTGTTTGGCCCTTCATTTTCTATTTTTTCCATTTCATTCTCTAACTTTCGATATGCTATCAATTAAGTTCAATCAATAATAATACTTTTTTTTTAATGAACAATCAATACTAATAGTTAATATTTCCAAAAACTGAATTTAATGTAATGATATTTTGAACTCACGTACCAATTTCAAATATTTCTTACTTTTATTTTTCTCTTTTTGTAGAGCATGCTTATGTATTAGTGAATGACGTACTTATATATAAGATCAATGCTACATAAATTTAAAATATTGACTTGATCAATCACTGTTATTGATTTTTTGTAAGTTTCAATATTTTGTTGGGATCCACTACCTATTTAACAATTGTTATTAATCAAATTAACAAATTAAGTCAACATTTTAAGTTTATGTAACATTTCTTTATATACAATAATTTCTACTAAAATTCACAATTCTATAATATAAAATAGGACATTCTTCAATAAGTCCATCTGACAGTCTCAAATACACTCATCAAACGGCCATTTATATCTATTTCAAAATCATTCATATTAAATTATCTCTCTCCTAAATCTATCACTTCTCACTTATATTGCACCGTACCTTCAGATACAAATTTTCTCTAATGAATAATATAGCAAAGGGAAATATATTAAAAGAAATCTTAGACCTAATGCAATAATGGGTATAAGAATAGAATGAAATACACTTCATAATTCCAATTTACAAGGGCCCGGAAGGTCACCACCCCTATGGTATTGGATAAATGGTCCAAACAACATCAAATGGCACCAAAAGAAAGAATGTTATGGGATATGCCTTGTCCTTGTCCTAACAATAATGCATTAAAAAAATAACCTCAACTTCACATTGCAAGTGTTAAATGTGCCAAAAGTTTGTCACATCTCACCAAATGAAGTGAGCTAGTATACATCTGTCTATTTAAAAGTTATTTGTAATCTTTTATGTATTAGTTGGTACACACGTGCATTACACATGAACTATTTCGAGCATTAAAGATTACTCATTGTTGATGTTAAAAATCATGAACACTAATAAATCATACAAATTCGTCGTGTCTTTGTCAACTTTTGTAGACAAGTTTTTGAACTCTCTTGCTAGTTAGATGTCGACTATAAGTTAGGTAGTATACATTATTTAGTATTCACGAAAAATAATTAAGCAAATAGTCCATAACCAAGAATTAGAATCAATAGTTCACCAATAAACTCAAGATTTTGATAACTTCAACAAAATCAAAAAGAGAATTATCACATGTTAATTTAGGTAATTCAAGAACTCCTCATCTTCAAGTTTGAATATTTCCAATTTGCTCTTGGACCTTCTTGATGCATCATTTTTATCTTGAGAACCTTCCTTTGGTTTTCTACTTCTTGGAGGAGATATTCTTTGCCTCCATTTGAGCATTTGTGATTATCATCATCTTCTTCAACTATTGCGTGAGTATGTTGCGTGGGTGTCACAAAATCAACCAAATATTCTTTCTTTCTTGCCATGACACAACAGACTTAAATTAACGTAATAATTTAAAAGAGAAATTATGCAACTCAACTTAAGCAAAGTGTTCCTTTAATTGAATTTAGTCATTTATAATTCAAGTTTGTTGTCACTCCAAATTGCTTGAGTGGTTAGCAATAGCAAAATAATAATTGTACCCAAAGAGAAGTTTAGTGTTGTTTTGTTAACATTTATATATATTGAAAATTCTGTATAATTTCATCATTACTCACACAAATAGAATACAAAAATAACTCTTGACCTATGACAAGTTTTTAGCCAAATAAAATTCAATGTCTTCTATTAACCAAGATTAACGAATTATAGGAAAATAGAAGTCATGCAGAGAACCTTTGTAATAGTTTATAATAACAAAATTAAAGGAAAATAGAAGTCATAAAGAGAATCTCTCTCTTAAAAGACAAATAAATAGCTAATTAGACATCCTAATTGATGTCTCATTCTCATATTGGTCAATTAGTTAAGTTTCTTGATATCTAAAACTTATGAATGTATCCTGGGAAACTCGATCAATTTTGCCGAGTTTCCTATGTTACAAATAAATCGAGATAATCTCTTCACCTTTGTTTTCTGCTTTCTTTCATCCGTAATCATATGATTTTTTCATCAAATTCTATTTGATTTTAAATAACTGGTATTCATTTCAATAAATAATTATCTCATCAATGCACATAGTTTACTTTATAAAAGTACTACAATCACTAACATCCAAATTCACTTACTTTCTACATAAAAATTCAAATTAGTTTCCACCTAAATAGATTTAATACAACAACTACGTTTTTTTTCGGAAAGTAATATTACAATTACTTCATTAAGTAGAAAATATAAGAATCGATGTTCAATTTTATTGAGTTGAGAACCTAGAAATCACCTTCCAAGTTTTTTACCAGGTCTTGTATTTTTTCAACAACTAAATGGAAGTATTGTTCATAGAAAATTGAAAGCTAATTTATCTACTTGTGCAAGTAGAAGGGCAATAAATCTTTTTGAAATGACAATACATAATGCATAGTTTACTTTGAGACATTAACCACTTTACATTAAGATTATAGTTTAGAAATCTAGTTCAGTCACACCTAGTTGGAGATATTTAGATCTGCACCTAATATACTCACTGAATTTGTTATAAGTAAAACCCAACATTTGGTCATGCATTCAAAATTTGTAAGGAAAAAAATCAAGAATCAAGTGGAAGAAGGAAAAAGATTACCATTAATTTGTAAACAAAATATATATTTAATACGATACATACACTGAGGTATGACAAAGTTCAAAAATATAAGACGTATGTATATCAAAGATACAACTAATTAAAATAAAATAATATATTTTTAGGCAATAATAAAATTATAATATATTAAAAATAAAGCATATTTTATAATAATATTAATAATAAGATCTAGCAAATATTATTTTTTGATTAAAATTAAAATAGATCAAAATAAACATCCATAATTTTCACCAAACCTCAT